AGCCATCTTCCAGCCCCCAGCACAAATTCTTAACATCTCTGTTCCCTCTGCCCCACAGAGCCACACACCCAGGGTTCTATAAGAAACTGCACCCCAGAAGATAACTACTTACATGGGGCTCCCAAGAGCTAGTGGGGAGCTGGCCAACAGTAGCAGTAGTAGATGGGCCCCTGAAGCTGGCCCCATAGTGAAGGACAAAGGTGGAGAGAGAGGGGGTAAGGGGCAGGGGTGGGCAGTGGTGAGCTGGGGCTCTGGATAGCTGCCTCTTTATATGGCTCTCCTCTCTGGTCCCTCCCTGTTCCTGCCCCAGGGGCTGCCCCAGATTTCGCAACACAGTTTCCTAAGTTTTTCACAAACCTGGGGCAACAAGTCTTGGGGTGAGTAACCCCAAGCACATTTCCATTTCCCTGGAGCTTGAAAATACTTGCCTGGCTCAGGCTTCTCTTGAGGTCAAGGCCAGATGCTGAAACTGGGCGGGTCCCTGTTGTACTTGGTTACACCAGAGACCACTGAAGTCTAGAGTGACCTCCTCCCACACTTAGCTGGGTCCCAGTAACCCAGCACTTTTGTCTGTCTGGTTCTCCCTACCCCCCAGGTCTTGCTAAATCAGTGGTTCTCAAACCAGTGGGTGGAGACACATTTGGGATTGCACATTGCATATCCTGCGTATCAGATATTTACCTTACAATTCATAACATAGCAAAGTTACAGTTGTGAAGTAGCAGTGGAATAATTTTATGGTTAGGGGTCAGCACAACATGAGGAACTGCATGGAAGGGTGGCAGGTCTAGGAAGGCAGAGACCACTGTGCTAAACAGTTCTGAACTCCTGCCCTCAAGCAAGTCTCCTGCCTCTGCCTTCTCAGTTGTTGGGCATTACCCAAGCCCTACTTATGCATTTATAATCCAAGACTTTCCTATGAGGAGGATAAGGGGTGGAGCAGGTCCTCATATACAGTCCCAGCTCTGTGGAGCACTGTCTGAAGTGGAAAAAAATTCTGGATTTTAGAGAATCTAGAAGGGTTTCTTGGCAGTGGGAGAGTTAAGCTTTAGTTTTGAAGGCTGCCTAGTAGTTCACCCTCTAGGAGGTATGCTTGCTTTCTAGGGAAAAGAACGAGTGGACCTTACCTACCCTGTTACTCAGGGTGGATGAATGACTATGGTGGGCTTTGAGAGTCACGGAGGAAAGGTCTGCTCTTGGCTCTGCCCCTAGGCCTTGTCCTGTACCTACAAGGATATTATCTCTTTCAGTTGTATTGGCTTTGTAGTTGTAGGCAGGTAATGATTTACAACGCTTAATATTTATAAAGTACAAATAGTGGCTTTGGAATGCAGCTCAGTGGGAAAGTGCTTCCATACTCAGTAGCACAGGATTAATTCTGGTGGCACACATCTGTAATCCCAGTACTAGACGCTGGAGGCAAGAGGATCAGGAGTTCAAGGTCAGCCTCAGCTATGTAGCAAGTTAGAGGCCAGCCAGGGCTACATGATACTGTTTCTTTTCTTTTTAAAATATGTGTCGGAGTGTTTTGCCTGTATGTATGTCTGTGCATCATGTGCATGCCTGATGCCTACATAGGCCAGAAGATGACGTTGGATCTACAATTGCAAATGTTTGTGTGAGCCTCATGTGGGTGTTGGGAACCAAACACAGATCCTCTGGACGGGCAATCAGTGAGTCATTTCTCCAGCCCCACAGACTCTGTTTCTAGAAAGGCTGATTCTAGTCCATCATTACCAACCCATAGGTTTTACAGTAACCATTAACCTCCACTCTGTATTGTTCTCCCAGCTTCCCTGAGTGCAGTATGAGGGCCATCTTGCTCTGTGTGTGAGAGATTTGCCTCAACGATTGTTCCAGATCAATGCTCAGAGACCTTTCTCCTCTTCGATGCCAACTGCCCCCCTGGTACTTGGTGTGAAAGCAGCCAATTTATGCTGATGACAGATAGACTTCTTGGGTCACCAAACAACTCAGTGTCCACTTCCTCTCTGAGCTGCCACTCAGCAGCCATGGGTGAGCCCTGGGCTTGAGTTTCTTCCTGCAAAGCACAGTGTTAACACAGCTTGCTGGATGTAATCTTGCTACATCTTGCCAGCTCTCTCTCTTTGAAGATTCAGCTTTATACACCTGGTGGCTAGGCTGCAAATTTCCAGAAGTAAATTGCCAATTTCCCACTGGCCTGGCTATTGGGCCATGCTAGCTGAATTTCAGATTTCTGGAGATAGGGTCTATGTACTCCTGGCTGGCTGAGAACTCAGAGATCCTCTGATCCCTGCTTCCAATGTGCTGGCTGGGATTAAAGGGGTGGCCACCAAGCCTAGCTGTTTTGTCTGTTTTTCTGTTTTATAATCCTGACTCTTCATTAGCCTTGGCTGGCTTCAAAGTCCCCATGTAAGAAAGATGACCTTCAACTCCAATCCATCCTCCCTCACCTCAAGTGCTGCGGTTGACAGGCAGGTGGTCACAATCATGCCTGATTTATGTGGTTCTGGGGATGTAACCCAGGACTTCATGTATGCTAGGCAAGTGCTCCGCCCACCTCCAGCTCCAGCGTGCTGAGTTGCCATACCCACTTGATGGCCAGTAGTTTTTTGTTTTCTGTCGCCCAGTCTGGTCTGGAACCTGTCAACATGCGCTGTTCTGGCTCTGGAATGATGAGCTGACTGGTGACCACACCCACTTTACTAGGAACTTGGGTAGTAACTGGAATCTCTTGTCCCTGATGCCTACTGCCACCACGCTGTCCTCTGTGACTGGGATAGGAATTGCTGTGGGGGAACACTTTGAACCAATTCGGTGATGCCCAATCCAAAAACAGGTGTTCATGAAACCTTCCATGAAGGGGTTAAGGGTGCAGTTTGCTCTGATTTCCTGTAAAACACTCATTTTTCCCGGCCTCTCAGGGCATGGGGTGGCTGGGAGTTAGAACAAACCTGGCTTGTCTTTAGCTGTGATTGCAACATCCTTTCTGTGGAAGGCAGAAAGGGAGGGGAGAGGAGGAAGGGGGGAGGTGCAGGCATTAGTTTGCCTCCATAACTGGGGCCCAATTTTTGAAACTGGTTGTCCAAGTGCTCCCCCTTTGGCAGCTCTGCTTCTCTCTCTCTGCTGTACTCCAGACACTCAGTTTCTTGGTCTATTTAATACATCTTAAAACTGCATCTTATGTATTTGTATTTAACACATTTTAAAAATTGTATCTTATTTTTATTTATTATTGTATATACTCATACATGTGTGGAGGTCAGAGGACAACTTGTGGGTGTTCTCTCCTTCCACTCTATGTGTCCCTGTGATGGAATTTAGGTTGCCAGGCTTGGCAGCCAAGCTGACCACTCCAACGAAGTCTTCTTCCTGGGCCCCATTGTGATTTACCTGTTGGCTTCTTCCCTGCTTACAGGATTTGTTCTTGTCCCCTGGGGACTTGTTTACCCTAGTGGGTGGAGGTAGGTAACTGTCAGGGCTGATTACAAAGGAGCCCTGTGGCTGAGGAGGAAGAAAGATCAACTCTCAACTGATGGTTAATATTCATTCCTGCTTCTGGACCTGGCTGGGAATGTGGCAAGGGTCTAGACCGTGTCCTGACCTCCTGGAAGTCACAAGACTGCAGAACTAGGTGCTGGGAGGTAACCAGGAAGCCAGGAGTGGACCAGGGCCCACTGGGAGGGAGAAAGTGAGAGAAGGAAGAGAGATGGGGAATTCCTAAACTCAGTGACCCTCCTCTAGGGAAACAAGAACTTGTGTCCAGAACTTGGGGGGAGGTGGGGGTGGGAGGGAGTGGGCCTGCTGAGCCAGCAAGGCAGGGAACTTGTGAGGGGATTTCCAGTAAGTGGGAGCCCTGCGTCCAGTGTTCTGGTCTCAAGGCTGTTTATAATGCCTTTATACGCATCTATGCAAACTATTTGGCTAAAAAATATTGCACCTACACACACAAGGAAAAAGTAGTTATGCCAGGTAGGGTGGTGCATGCCTATCATTCCAACACTTAAGCAGCAGAGGAGGAAGACTGTTATTTGAGACCAACCTGGGGTATATATTGAGACCAGAGAGATGGCTCAGTGGGTTCAAATCCCAGCACTCACGTACAAAGCTAGTGATTTAAGCATTTTAGCATCCACTAATAGATAACCTCAGGAGAGGCAGGGATTTCCTGAACCCTGGCAAGCTGGCTTGCTGGACCAGAGGAGCCAGTGAACTCTGGGTTCAGTGAGAGGCCTTGGTAAACAAAGAGAAGTGAAGAGTGAGTACATCACTGTACATCAACTTTGGACCTACACACACGCATATACTGGAGAGTACTGCAAGGAGGTGGTATATGCCTGACATTCTTCTTGAGAGGCTGAGGCAGGAGGATTGCCACAAATTTCAAGCCAGCCTGGGCTTCATAGTGAGAACTTGTCTCAAAATTCCAAATGAGTCAGGTGTGGTAAAGCCGACCTGATACCTCAGTACTTGGGAGGATCAGGAATTCAAGGTCATCCTTGGGTACTGAGAGTACAAGGCCAGCCTGGAGTACATGAAACCCTGCCTAAACATATTTAAAAAGGTAAAATAAAATGCTCTTTGAACAAACAATTCTTTAAAAAATGAGAGAAATGCCTGGTGTCATGGTGCACCCATTCAGGGATCCTGGCAGAAGGTGGTAAAGCTCTTCGAGTTCCAGGCCAGGCTGATCTACATAGCCAGACCCTTCTACCAGTGCTGAGCCCTGGTATCAGGAGATGAGAGAGGGAGAGACGGATCTGAGTTCTAGTTGGCAGATTCCACTCTGGACTACCTGGTTGTGACAATCCCTGTGCACCCCTCACACTCCGTCCACAGGACTCCCTCCATACTGACAGTTCTAGCTCTCTTCTGCTTCCCCACTACGAGAACAGGTCTCAGCTGCATGGTTTTCCTGGAATCCCTGTCCATCCTGAACCCTCCTCCCCAGTAACTCATTAACTCCCAGGGACCTTGACCCTGCACTGTCCATATGGCCTGTGACATCAGTTTCTTCCCTGAGCCCTGTGTGGATGCTTGCAGCACCCAGCTGACAGAGAAGGGTAGAGTCCAGCCCCACAGCCTCAGTTTGGTCTCCAGAGATCGAGAAATGCACCAAACAGAACACTCAGGTATGTGTCTCACACACCCCTCCCCTCTCTGCCTTCTTCCCTCCCCTTGCTCCTGTTTTGTTTTTCTGAGACGTTTTTACTGCTCCTGACCCTGGGAGGCCAGGTGTTAAGGCTATGCAGGTCATTCCCCTGCCCTCCACTTCAGCTCACTTCTTCCCATTCATGCACAAGTCCTGTGAGGACACTGGGCCCCGCAAGGGTACCCACATCTGTCTTACCTTTAGATTGTTCCTTAACCCTCATCCTCAGAGCCCCTTAGCCGCCTATTGAGGACTAGGGTGTGCCCATCTTTGGAGTGGGAGGCTTATCACTACCTACTTCAGCATGTACAACCGCACAGGCCCCTGAGTCTCCTCTTGATTGGGCCTTGGCACAAAGCCTCGGGAATCTGTTTTTGAGACTCTGCCTGCTGCTGCCCCAGCCAGGCCTGGCTCCACCTCCCTTCACCTCCTTCATGCACCCTCCCCAGCCTGTGGTGCTTCTGCTGGCTGGCTGGGCTATTTATGTTCCTGGGCTGCAACTGGTTTCTTTTCCTTACAGTGGAAGCCTTCACCTGGGCCTCTCTCCCCTTTCCTCTACCACCTACCACCATGATGCCTCTGCACTTGCTCTGTAAGACACTTCTGGGCATCCTCAGTAGAGGGCAGAGAGGAGCGCCATCTTGAAGAGCTAATTCTAAGGGTCTCTAAGAGATCATGCCAAGGCTGTTGCTGGACCTTCATGACCACGTCTATCCATTCCACATAGACAGGACCTCACTTTCTAGCCCAGGCTAGCCTCAAACCCTAGTTAACTCTCCTGTCTCAGTTTTCTGAATGTTGGAGTTACAGGCTTGAACCATCATACCTGGCAGCCATTAGTTACTGGGTGGCCTCAGGTATTTGGCATTCATTAACCCACAATGATTGTATGTCTATAAGTGTGATGGCCACAGGTCAGCCTGGCCTGCTATTCCTCAGGTGTCATCCAGTTTAGCTCTGAGGCAGTGTAATCTCAAGGGCCTGGGCCACATGAAGTAGACTAGGCTGGCTGAGCAGCCAGGACTAGGGATGTGCCTCCTCCGTCTCCCTAGTGCCCAGATTACAAGCATATACAGATCTTTATGGAGGTTAGGATCTGCACTCCAGTCCTGGTATGACATGGCAAGCGCTTCACTCTCTTCAGGGGACACGGGTTCACCATCACCTTTCCTTTTACCTACCAGACTTCTGTGGCTGGGTCAGCTCCTGTGTGACTCTTATCCTGGGTCTGGTGACTTGAAAGATCTTTAAGGGTTAGGATGGAGTGGGGACTTGTTCATACTGTCCCCAGGTTTAAGGGTTAGTATGGAGCGGGGACTTGTTCATACTGTCCCCAGCAGCACAGCTTCAGCTCAGCAGGTGATCCTCCCCTCACTGGGAATTCTGCTTTTTCTTTATTTGTTTACTAGCTCTCCAGAGCAATAGGATGACAGGCACGTGCCACCACGTGGACTGAGAATTCAGAGTTCGAGATCATAAATGCAGCCTGCCTTAGACACTCAGAACCCTCAAAGTCAAGGAATTTAAGAAATGAAAAAGAAACTGGTCCTTATTGTATCACAAGAGATGAAGTGCTCCCTGGCGAGGAGAGGGCTGTGGTGCAGGGAAAAGGGCACCTTTTCTGAAAGGCTCCTTGGGGATCCACTTCCTGGGTGCCTTGTCGCAGTGTCCCCTCAGATTCCCTGTACACTTGGGGACAAGTGTAGGGGTGCGAGGTGCTGAAGGTCTGAGGGTGGCTTGCTGGACACAGGGAAGTCACAACAGTTCCCGGCTACTGGCTGTCTTGTTAACTTTGGACAGGCCTTCCCGAAACCCAGAGTCTGTCATCCTGGGAGAGGACACACAGCAGAAGGAAGGTCTAGCAGATGAATGGAAGCAGACCCCGTCCAGGAGCCACTTTAGCCCCACCTACTCCCATTCCATCCTTCCCTGCCCCACCCCCGGACCTTGTCCAGTGGTTAGTACACCAGTCTTATCTCTGCTTCCAAGCCTGCCTAGCTCTGCCACTCCAGAGCTGTCCAGTCCTGACCCAGCTCGCCTCCGAGGCTCCACAGACCCAGGCGCTACAGCCCGTCCTCCCATACCAGTACCCTAATCCCACCTTACAGTGATTCTAGACCTGCCCATCCTGCAAGCTGCCCACTAACCCTCATCCCTGTACATCGCCTGATCCTAAGCCTGATGCTCTGCAGCCCACCTCAGAGCCAGCTCTGCCCCACTCCGAGGCATCTCCAAGCACCACCTGGACCAGCATTAGAGCCAATCATAGCCTACCTTTATCCCCCTTTTTGGCACCACCACCCAGTCCTGCCTAGCTGCACTCCCAGAAGCAGCCTAGGCCTAGCCTATCCTGCCTATCCTGGCCCAGTGCTCTGGGCCAGCTCCAATGACACCTTGGTCCCGCCATGCCCCACAGCTTTGCTCACACTTGCTCCATCTGTACGTCCTCCTCATCTTCCTGAGGCAGCTGCAGGTACGGGTTGTCCCCAGCTGGCTGGAACTTGTAGCCGGTGAGCACGAAGAAGGCCAGTGTGGAACTCTCCACCAAGAGCTGGGGGCCAGGGCAGGGGTTAGGTGGGGCTTCCTGGTCACCCATCCTCCCAAAGACACACACCCTTCTGGGGACTCCTATATGGGGACCCCAGCTTGCTCACCTGGTACAGCCACTGCCATTGGAAGGGCACCGCCACTTGTAGTAGAATGGCAATGATCCGCGTAAAGTAGATATAGCAGATGACCTGGAGGCAGGGGTCGGCGGGGAGAGGAGGAGGCATGGGCACCAGGACAGAGGTCAAGGTTGGCGGGCAGAGGAGGAGGCACGGGCACCAGGACAGAGGTCAAGGTCGGCGGGGAGAGGAGGAGGCACGGGCACCAGGACAGAGGTCAAGGTTGCCGGGGAGAGGAGGAGGCACGGGCACCAGGACAGAGGTCAAGGTTGCCGGGGAGAGGAGGCATGGGCACCAGGACAGAGGTCAAGGCTGGCGGGGAGAGGAGGAGGCACGGGCACCAGGACAGAGGTCAAGGTTGGCGGGGAGAGAAGGAGGCATGGGGACCAGGACAGAGGTCAAGGTCGGTGGGGAGAGGAGGAGGCACGGGCA